TAAGTAACTTAACTTAATTTAATTTATTATATATATATATATATATATATATATATATATATATATATATGTAATAAAAATACACATCATATTTAATATTGATCTTACTTCCATTTTTTCAACTCGTTTCTCAAGTTCATACTCTGCACTAGCAGCAACGGGATCTACATCTTCATTTCGTCGATCGTATTCATTTACTGAATGTGTTGAATAAACTCTCATTGGTTTCGTATCAAATGAAACTTTAGACATTTTTTTAATGGGTACATTTGTTGGATAATCATCTTTCTCGTCATCTGATTCTGGTATTCCTGCAACTTCCATCCAAAAATGACCATCTTCAAAATAATGTACACCATTTTCAACCAATATCTAAAAAAATGTAAATTTAATTATATTTGTTCTTAAATTATATTTCATAAATATAAATTTTATCTATGATCTTACAACTTTGCCTGGTGTTGGAGGAACGTATTCATCTTGATGTTCTGTTTCTGTATCATCGTTAATTTCGTAAGTATCATTCAAACTATTAACAGATCCAAGTAAACCACTTTCACTACCTGTTACAGAACCCACTTGACTCTCCGTCAACGAGTCTATCGTTAAATCGCTACGTGATCTATGGGACAAACTAAAAAATCATATAAATTTAGTATTTTCCGATGAAAATCCAATTAATAAAAGTTAATTAAAATCAACACATAGCATTAGCTGCAAAATAGTTTTATAAGACATAAAAAACATAAAAGACTAAACTAATTCACCTATAATCATTAGTGGTGCTATTAATAAGACTGGTATCAGGAGCAGACAAGACATCAGAAAGCCAATCTGGTGTGTTATCTTGATCATCCTTTTCCCTTTCTTTATCGATTTCTCTATTTTTTTCAATAGATTCTTCACTTACAACTTCAGCATGTGTAGTGGGTGATAATAATCTTGCTATTTCTTGAGCTTCTTCGTCTGATAATAAAGCTGATCCTTGTCTAATTGATTATTCATGTGATTCACGATGCTTTTATAATTTAACATTATAATCAATGAACTAAACATTAATGAGACAATAACAATTAACTTACCTTATTTTTTTTCTAGGATGCTGTTTTGTCCCATTTTATTATGAGTTTGTTTGAAGTCACATTCAAATAAACATGAATAGAAGAAAACATTAGAATTTAAAATAAAAAAATAAAAATTATTAAGCTATTTGCAAATTACTATAAAATGATTTGCTATAGTTAGAATTATCATAATACAAAATATAGAGATGTGTTTGAAAAAAATCTATATGAAAATTCTAATGCATTATACATAATATATAATATTATAATTTTAACTATAATATTACTATTATCTTGTAACAATTTTTTCATTATTTTTATTAAGAATTCATTTTTATAAAGTAAACTATTTGCTTAAGTAACTTACCGTGAACTTAATAAATTTTCTGCTTCATCAGCTGTCATAGTATCTGGTGTTATAGGAATTGTTTGATTTGTAGCTTTAGAAAAATTTTCTGTAATAGTTTTAGAATTATTACATTCCATGGTATTTTTTGCATCCATTGTTGATATATACTCCAAATTTGTAATAGTTTTAGTCTCACTGGAATCACTATCATCATGAATACTACTTTCAGATATAATATGTTCGTTTAATTGTTTCTTTTCTGTATGATGCAAAGTTACAATAGTAGATGATACATTTTGAGACATATTAATTTGTTGAACTGTATTTGTAAAAGTATTTTCTTGTAATCTCAACTTTGCCAGTTCAGCCTTCTGTTTCTCTTGCTCCCATGTTGTTTGTGGTTGATTTAATTCTTCTGTACTTTTATTTAAAATATTACTTATTGTTTGAGAATTGGGTTTGGGTGATGATACTGCATCACCTGCTAATGTTATAAATTCCTTCTTATTTGTTTTTGATATAAATTTAGATATATTTTCTGAGTGTGATGAAGCATCATTTAATTCGGTTTCTTTGTCATTCAATTTTTCAGATGAATTTTCAGTATTATGAACATTTGAAAACACTGAGCATTGACTTGTGTTTAAGCTAACTTTTTCTGTTTGATCTACTTTATTATCTATTTCAGCAAAACTTGAACGTTTTCCAGAAACTTCTTCTTTATTTTTTGCTAGTTTTTCACGTACAGAGATTTTAATTTGATCATTTTTGGCATTGGATACTGTTTTTTGACATACAGTTTCAGAAAATGTATGTTTTTCATTGTTAATATTTGATTTTGACTTATTATCTAAAATTATATTTTGATTTTCTTCTGTAATCATTGAATTTATTCGTACATGATCTTGATTACTTTCTTGAGATATCTTATTATGGCAACTTTTTGTTGAATCAATTTTTACTAATGTATTTTCTTCTATATTTATTTTTACTTGTGGTTTAATTTCATTATTTTGAGGAGAAATTTCTTGATTTTGTTGTATTTTCTTTACATATGGCGAAGATATTGGTATATCCTTATGTTCTAAAGGTGGGTATTCTTGATCTGAGCTGACAACAGATGGTGGTCGTGGTCCCAGACCAGCAGCTTGAAGATCAACACGTACATGAGATCGTCGAATAACAGTAGTAGTATCTGATTCATTGAATTTTGAATTTTTTTCTAAATTATCCCTTTCAGTAATAGATTCCATATATGCTGCAGGTTTTTCTTGTTCTTCATGATGTAAATCATAACTGTTACGACCTTAAAATATTGAAATATCATATTATTATCTATAATAAAAAATCCACATGTTAAAATGTATACATCAATTTTTAAGAGAAGGTATGAAATACCTCGGCAATCAATGCAAAGAAGACGGAGACACATGGTATTTATATATATATATATATATATATATATATATATAATAAATAATAA